CTTTAAATATGTCATCCCATTGTCTTCTGGTCACCATTGTCACTGATGGAAGTCAGTTATCCATGCTATTGTTCCTTTTAATATAATATGTAGTTTTTCTCTGGCTGCTTTCAAGATTTTCTTTTTCTTTTTTTAATTTTAGCAGTTTAAATATGATGCATCTAAGTTAGTTTCCTTTGTATTTATCATTCTTGGGCTTTGTTGAAATTCTTGGATCTGTAAGTTGATGTCTTTCACCAAATTTAAGAGATATATCTTTTTCCTCTCCCATTCTCTCCTTTTCTTTTGGAATTTCAGTTACATATATGTTAGATTGCATATTCTGTTTGTTTTTCTCCAATTTTTCCCCTCTTAGTTCTTCAGATTGAGTTCCATTGATCTCTCTTCAAGTTCACTAACTCTTCCTTCTGCCATTTCTAATCAGCTGTTAAGTGTAGTCGGTGAAATTTCCATTTTAGTTATTGCACTTTTCAGCTACAGAATTTCTACTTGTTTTTTTAATAGTTTGTCCTCCCCCATTGAGCTTCCTATATGTTCATTTATTGTGCATATAACTTCCTTTAAGTTCTTGGACATATTTTTAGTAGCTGCTTTATCTGTACCACCTGGATTATCATGGTTTGGTTATAACTGACTCCTCCCTTCTTTTTCTTGGGCATGGGTCGTAGCTATTTCTTCTCCTAGTTCATGGTCTTTATTGGGTCCTGGATATCATGAATGCTATGTTGTAGAATTTCTGGATTCTGTTGTGTTCCTCCTGCTAGTGTTTATCTTGGCTGGACTCAAACCCTGCCCCTCATGCAAATATATCTTTTTCAGCAGCAGCTGAAATCTCCTCTAAGTTTGTTCATCTTTGAGCTGCTAGTTTTTCTCCCAAACCCCTGGTGTCTTCCCCACACAAGTGTAGGTTAGTCAGTTGGCTAAAGATTTGGATAGACTCTTGGCAGATCTGGGGGCTTTTCCCCTCTGTGGCTCTCTCTCTTCCAGGACTGCCCCCTAATATTCTGAACTGTCTCCTCTCACACTTCAAGACAACCAGATTGCTGCTTTCTGCCACCTAAGCATTCATGGACCGGGGCATGCCCCTGGCAAAAAATCAGAATCACTGGTCTGACTGTGACAGAGGTCTTTCAAGGGTGGACTCCCGGGCAAAGTCTGCCTGCTTTGATCATCCCCCAGTGTCTTTAAATAGGGGTGTGTGTGTGTGTGTGTGTGTGTGTGTGTGTGTGTGTGTAAGTGTTGTGTGTTTTAATATTTTGTCAAGATTTTTTAACTGTTATCTGCAGGAGGGTTAGTCCAGCCAATCTGCTCCACCATTACTGAAAGCCAGTGCTGTTGCATACCTCTTAATAAACAATTTTCTTAAAAACCTTAACTTTGATGTGTTAGGAGTCCTTGATTAACAGACCCAAATAAAAAGAAATTCAGAGCAACAAAATTCAGGAAACTGGACCAGCTTATATGCGACGTATGACCTTGGTTATCTTAGATGGGTAGGGAAGGATTTCATGCCCTCGACATACTGGAGCAGCCAGGCTGGCCCACATGGTGTCTGTCATCTGTCTGTCTGAGGCTAACATTAAGGGATGTGTTCAGGGGGAGTAGAACAGTCAATCTCAAAAGGTCATTACATTTTCCAGAATAGTCCTACACATCCTTAAAATAACGAGGTAGACTGTAAATGTCCTGGGACTTTATATAGACTCTCACTATCTGAAACACTATATATCATTTTGTATAAGTTGGTATGGGCTGTAATACTAAGGAGACACTGAAGTATTTATTCATTTGGTAAATATTTATCCACTGCCCAGGTTGTGCACAGCACTGAAGCACTACCCAGAAGCCATTGCATGGGATGCTTTTGTCCCAGCTGTGCCGCTCATAATGTGGATCCCTGCATGAGTTCGCGGGGGCTACCGTTCTAAGTGCCACAGACTGGGTGGCTTGGAACAACTGAAACGTGTCCTCTCACAGTTCTGGAGACCAGAAGGTGTTGGCGGGCTGTGCTCCCTCTAGGGAAGGATCCTTTCTGCCTCCCCCAGTTTCTGGTGGCCCCAGCCATCTTGGCTTCCTTGGTGTGTTGCTGCATCCCACCTTTCTGCTTCCATCATCACATGGCCTTCTTCCCCGCGTGTCCCATTCTGTCTGTAACAAGAACACAGTCCTTGGATTTCGGGGCCACCCTACTCCAGTATGACCTCTTCTTGATCCTTACCTTGATTATCTCTGCGAAGACACTCTTTCCAGAGAAGGTCACATTCAGAGATTCTGAGTGGCCATGAGTTTTGGGGGTCACTGTTCAACCCACTACAACTCCCCAGAGTGACTTGTCCCTTGTGCCCAAACTCCTGTCTTCAGTTTCAAGGGCTGTAACTGGCTCCTGAGGTTCCAGGATTTGGCGATTTTATTTGTGACTTTATAACCTTCAGGAGCACTGCTGTCATTTCAGACCAGATGATAATTCCATTTGTCTTTAAATGCCGGCAGCTTCATCCTCCTCTGACAGTTTGGGTCATCCCTTGTGGCCCCTCCAGTTCTGTCATGTTGGGGAGATGTGGCCCCAAGGACTCCGCACTGGATCCAGGGCCCCTGGACCTCAAGGTTTTGATCCAGACAGTGACATTTTTCTACCCATCTTCCAAACCCACATCACTTCAGCAAACCCAAATTATACTAACCAAGGACCAGCAACTATGGTCTACAGGCCAAACCTGGCCTGTCACCCTTTTTTTTTTTCTAAATGAAGTCTTATTAGAACACAACCAGGATCATTCTGTGTGTGTGTGTGTGTGTGTGTGTGTGTGTGTGTGAGTGAGAGAGAGAGAGAGAGAGAGAGAGAGCAATGGCCACTCTTGTGCCAGGACAGCAAAGTCTAGTAGTCTTAATAGGACCAGATGTGCCCAAAAGTCTCTGGTCCTTGGCAGAAAAGCTTTGGTGACCCTTGGCCTAATAAACACCGTGCACTACACAGTGTGACAAACAGCACATGGCAAACTGTGTTAAACTAGGAAACACATTCGTGTGAAAACCTGGCATGATCTTGAATAACTTGCATTCTGGAAGTTGCGTTCTGGCCACGGTGAGCCAAGCATGGGCTCGCTGTCGAGCCTCACGCTCTCACGGGCTCCCCTGGTTTTAATAAGACTTAGACTTTGGAGCACAGTTATTTCTGCCTTTGAACAAGGAACTGGCCTCTGAGTCAGCTTTCCCACTCTGTGACCAGTGGATTCTCTCCACAAAGAGCCCTAGTCCAGCGATTTCCTCCCACTACCACCGAAGTGACCCGCTTCCTGGCTTCAGATTGGAAAAAAGTGGTGTGTGGGGTGCAGATGACTGGTTCCAACGTTGGGGAAAATTGTAAATAAGACCTCGATTAAGCAACTTCCTACAGAATAATTCCAAAGGTCAGGGAATTATCAGGAAGGCAGAGAGTTGGAGACCCAGAAAATACACATTGGAAATTCTCCATCTCCTCCTTCCCTAAAAGAGAAGAAAGTAGGGGATGCCAGTCACCGCGTGGCTCTGAGGACATCTAGCGGTAAGGACTGAGTCCGGGAACCGGGAACCCACCACAGGCACAGGCAACACATCCACAGTTCCATCCAGTGGCTCTCATGGTACCAAAGGCTTTGGAAGAGGAATGGGCTGAGTCCTAGAATATTCCTCATCGGTGAAGATGGGGTTAAGCCAACACTCAGAGATAAACACCCACACACTGCTCTCTGCTTTCTTCCCTCGTTGTTAGAGGTGGGAGTTCCTGGGCTGGGGAAGCATATGTAAACTTCTGGCAGTCCATCCTGGGCACTGCGGTGTGTGGTGTGCGCCGTGCTGCTCAGGCCTCCCCATGAAGCAGAAGTGGGGAGACTCCACTTGACAGCTGGGGGGACATGCACAGGACGGGGGTGCACCTGCCCACAGAGTCACCCCCTCTCTGCAGTTCGCATATTTAACAGCTTCTCAAATGCCAAGAGCAGCCAGTTCTTAAAGAGTGAAGACCGTTTGCCCTTGAGCATTTTCATGGAATGATTTTTTTGTATCATCTGCTGCGTTGTCCTGGTATGAAGTGAGTCTTTTTTGGGGCACCTGAGTGGCTCAGTCATGATCTCAGTGTCCTTGGATCGAGCCCTGTGTCGGGCTCCCTGCTTAGCAGGGAGTCTGCTTCACCCTCTCCCTCTGCCACTCCCCCTGCTTTTGCTCTCTCACTCTCTCTCTCAAATAAATAAATAAAATCTTTAAAAAAATGAAATGAGTCTTTCTGTATAGAATTTTTAAACTACCTACTTGAAAGATATATGCATCTGGCGGCAAAGAAATACACTTTTATGCTTTCTCATAGGCAAGGATCTCTGGGAACAGAAGGCAGTGCTCCTATCCAGCCCAAGATAAAATGCTTCTTTACTTCCACTGTGTATCGCCTTTTTCCTCCCTTGGACAGTGTCTGGAGATTATTTTTGATTGTCATGACGGCGGGGCAGGGCGGGGAGAGCGGCGCTCTGGGCATCTAATGAGCAGAGGTCAGGGATGCCGGGGTCCACATGAAGAATGATCCGGCTCTGGTGGTGCCCAGTGCTGAGGGGGAAAAAACCCTGCTCTAGGAGAACGCCCTTGTCGTTTGGGGTACAGTATCTCCCCAGATGGCAAGCATCCATCAAGAGCTTGTGATTTGCTGGATAAAGGAGTAAACAGTTGTCTGAGTGCTGGGAAGTCGTTCAGCCGGATCAGCCTGGCCAGGGGAGAAGGAGTTAGTTGTCCCAGCCTGCCATTGAGAAGTGCCTGCAGAGCCGAGTTTTGGTTTTATATTGGGAAAAGCATTTCCTGCCCCACCCCCTCTCTTTCTAGGAGCAGCTGGGCCCCGTTTCCCTGTCCTCCTTATACATTTGAATTTTGAAGACTGTAGGTAATAACCACTCACCAATCTTGTGCGTGTCTGACGTTGCCTCTTGGGGTTTCGTGATGGCACCCCTGCTCCACTCAATCTCTCTCCCGCCTTTCTTTAGAACTGAGCATGCAGAATTCAGAGGGTGGATCCGATTCGCCAGCTTCTGTGACTCTGTGTCCCTCAGCGGCAGCCCAGGCCCCCGCGGCCCCGCCAGTACCAGCCTCCCCGCAGGTAACAGACCAGCCCGCCTGCTGCTCAGGGAAAACCCGCGTGGCCGGTGCAGGGGCGGGAGGCACATCCTCTTAGGTTTTGAAAAACACCCAAGTCAGCAGAGAGAGGTTTCCCAAATTAGCATGTCAGTCGCTATTTGTTGAAAAGGTCCCACCAAGGACTCAAGGATACAAACACGAAAAGAAACCAACTTAGTCTTTTCCTCTCGTTTAATGGAAGTTTCCTCATACCTGGGAATTAACCCTTTTACCCAGGAAGACTAAGGCAAAAGATCGGTTAGAATGCTAGCATTAGAACGGATATATTCTTTAAAATTTGCAGAGACTTTCCACATGAAGGCTCCTGACTTCCAGGTTTCTGCCATGGATGGAAATACACCGTAGACGCAAACATAAAGTTAGTGACGTAAGACCACACAAAGCCGAGGCCGTGGAACAGACGAAGCTTGGAGGCGTGTGCAGAGGCCCACTGTGGCCGTGTGACCCGCCACGAGCACGATTCCAGAAGTTAGAAGCATGACAGAATTGATGAAGCTGAAAACGCCCCTTCATTCAGCAAAAACAAAAAGGCAGACCTCAGAGAGGTTTATTCATTTTAGAAAGGACAATCAGACTTGTTTAGCTTCTATTTCTTGCAAATATAGCAGCCCCCACGTGGGCCTTGCAAGCCTCTCTCAGGGTGCCAAGGGGGTATGGTCAGATTCAGTGGTAGCCTAATTGATTTGTTTCCCTGCCCGCTTGAAGCTGATCCTTCAGCCCTCCATCCCCTGGCTGTCTGGTGCCAGGGGCCCACCTCCAGGGGCGCACCATGGCCACGGTGTCCCTCCCCACTTCCAGGCCTTCCATCCTTGCTAGAGATGCATCCAGTCCCCCCAGGTGTCTCCTCTGCTCCTCACGCAGACTTCCTGCTGCTTACTTGGGGCACTCCCTTTCTGGAAAGCTACAAGCACTCATGCTCACGGGCCACCCTGCCTTCCCTCAATAGTGGGTGCCTCGCCCCTTGCCAGGGAGAGGCATTCCTGCTGCCTCACTTAGCCAGGTGTGCGCCTCATGCTTCACCTCCCCGCCCTGCACCCTCTGGCCCAACTTTCCACCACGGCGGCCACGTTCTGCCACCAGCTCCAGGTTGGTGCCAGGGATGGGGGAAGGTGGTGTGGACAGCTGTCTGGAGGGTCCTTCTTTTCACCCGGCCTCTCAGCTTGGTGCCAGGGACAGCCCGCATCACCTTGCAGAACAGACCCCAGGGAAGGAGAGCTGCGGGGGCAGGTGGAGGCGTGTGCGCGCGTGCACGCGAACGAGTGTGTGTGTGTGTGTGCGCGCGCGTGCATGCACGCGCGCACCGTCTGGTCCTCCCATCAGTCCTGCTTATGTTTCTGTGAGGTGACAGTGGAGAAGGTAGCGGTGCTCTGGTTGTAATCTGTGTTTGTTTTAAGGGCTAAACTCTGACTAAAGTCTAAACGTCCTTCTCTCCTTCCCTTTTAGAGGGTGTTGGTCCAGGCAGCGGGCTCGGCTCCCAAAGGGGCCCAGATGCAGCCAATCTCCCTCCCCAGGGTCCAGCAGGTGCCACAGCAGGTAACCACAGCACAGGGGACATGGGACACGTTAGCCCTTAGCGATCTGGAGCCCTCTCTGAACGAGGCATCCTTTCCTGTTGTTGCTGTTCCTTTGTCTTTAATATATTCAGTTCTCGACCAGAAGGTTCTTTCGGAAGCTATGTTTAAAAAAAAAAAAAAAAAGAATCTTAACTGCAGAGAGTTTGCAACAGGCCAAGAAAGCTGACGATCTTTCATTCATCCAGAAATTCAGCATTCGGGGTGCAAGCCAGCACCTCAATAGAGCACTGCGCTACCAAAGTAGACACACAGACAGAGAAGCCCAGTTTCTGGGTTGAAGGAATGTGGAACTTGCTGGGGAAGCAAGTGCTGTACCCTCAGACCAATGCCATGACCCAGGAAGTGCTTCTTGTGAAATCCAGTGATCCCGGAACAGAGCTTCCGAGCGAGTGCTCCCCAGCCACACAGCTGCACAGATCAGCAGCTCGGACGGAGCCCGGGTGACCTAGAGCAGCAGAGGGCAGACCTTTTCTGGAAGAAGCCAAACAGCACATGTTTCGGCTTGGCAGGCTAGCGGCCCCTGACATCACTGCTGAACTCTGCCTCTGTCTTGAGAAAGCAGCTGTGGATGGAAGTGGCAGGGCGTGGCTGTGTGCCCGGAAAACTTTATTTGCAGAAAGAGGCAGGCCAGATTTGGCCCGAGGGCTGGAGTTTGCGCATTGAGCTCTGTAACATGCTGAATTAAAATCAGTGCAGGTTCTAGGAACCGGGACAGACGGCACACCCCTCTCTGGTGTGTTTAGAGGGGCTTGTCTGGAGGCAACTGAGGCAGGTTTCGGGGTCATGGGAGAGAAGCAAAGGCTTCTGGCAGGCCCAGCAGGGAACCAGCAGTTCTGTCTCAGCTCCTTGAGGGAGACGCGAGCAGTGTCGTGATTCCAGAAGCTTCCTCTCTGTGGGGCTGGGCCTGCCCCAGCCTTTCTCTCTGGGCAGCTTGGCCTTGCAGAGTGACTTCTGCATCTCCCCCAGTCCCCTAAGGCACAGCCCACCCCCAGCATGTTAGTCCCCAAAACCTTTTCAGGCATGCTCGCTATTCCAGGGGCTTGTGTGTGTGCATTGTGCACCGCGTTGGGTTGTCCTAGGAGGTGGGAATCAGCCCCATCCTGCCGCTCCACGAAAAGGCTTAGAGAGAGGCCACGATGAAACCCAGCCCCTGATTCTCTTACCCCAAAAGGAGGTTGGATGAAGCATTAAACCTTTAAGTTTCCCTCTGTGGTGAGGGTGTAAGGTTCTGCACGCAGAGCTCGGGCTTCCACCACCCGAGCCAGCACCCCTGTCTGCTGAGGTGCTGAACTGACATGGCCACAGGTGAAGGCAGGGGCGCGGCGGGCCGAGGCTGGGGGCTTCCCAGTGCCCCTCTCCACCTCCCACTCCATTCTGCTCAGACTGAAGGTCTCTCCTTGGTGTGCCTCTCAGGACCCCCGCCCCTCTGGGGAGGGGTGCCAGGGCCACCCAAAGGGGACATCAGGGAGGCCATGAAGAGTATGACCAGCTCGAGCCCTCTGCCCTATGGGGGGTGAGGGGTGTCCGACCCCCCCAAGGTCACGTTCTGTCCACAGCTCTGGCTTCTCCTGTCCAGCCGGACCCACCCCTCTGCCCAGTGGCTGGCGGGTGGCAGGGACCGACCGACCCAGCTCTGCTCTGCAGCTTTGCTCCTCCGAGCTGTGAACTGGGTTCCCCCCGACCCGCCACATAATGGGGGCCACCCACCTCGCTCCCCTTGGGCTCCGCAGTGGAAACGAGCTGCCGCGCACAGAAAATGCAGCAGAGCTGTGGATCGGGAGCAGCTCCATTCCTGTGGGGCCTTTTGGTGACCAGTTCTCCTAGTTTCTTGGTAGAAGCGCCAGCTGGGGCGGGAAATCTGACACGTAGGAGTCAATGTTCACAAAAGGCACGAGAAGACGCGCCCAGTCGGCCCCTCCGGGAGCCCGCCATGCCTCACGCCAGGTACCTGCTGTCGTTCCAGGTGCAGCCCGTGCAGCACGTGTACCCCCCGCAGGTGCAGTACGTGGAAGGCGGAGACACCGTCTACACAAATGGAGCCTTGTACGTGGGTTGCCTCTCCCCTCGGAAGGGCCCTCCTTGCAGACAAGCATGGGCCACGTCCGGAACCTTCTCTCACGACTCCCCCCACGCCTTCCCATTTGGGGCTGTGTGTGTGGAAACTTCTCCTCCTCCTCCTTTGGGTGATGTTGGAACTGTTACAACAGTTCTAGGACATCAGAGCCCTGTGGAGATTTCAGAAATCACAGGCCTTTGCAGTTCTCACTGCCAGAAAAGGCGGCCTTTCCAACAAAGCAGAACGCGAAACAAAACCCCAGTCCAGCTTTTAAGTCTGAAGATTCAGTCTTCACAATCCAGACACCATTTCTGTCTCTACCTTCTCATCCTTGCCTACGTCCACCTCTGGCTCTTTATGATGTTGCTAAAACTTGATTTTCCATTTGTCAAGGACTTCTAGAGCTTTCTGCCTTCGAACTATGTGGTGTTCAGGGCAGAAAATGATACATTTCCCATGAAGCTCATTGTGCTCAAGACGCGAGCCCTTTGGTTCGTTTGATTTCCACGACCTCCTTCCAGAAGTTCAGGGATGGGGCGTGAGGGTTGGCCACGGTGATGGCCGGCGCTGTGCGAGTCTCTGCAGCACAGCCCTGAGGCAAGCCAGAGACATGCAGACGCACGTCAGCGCCTGGACAGCCCAGGAAATCTGAACGAGGTCTGTAGGTCGCCCCAGCGTCAACGTCCTGAGCTTCATCTTGTGCTACAGTTAAATTGGCTGTCACCCCGGGAGGCGGGACAGGGGTGCAGGCCTCCCGGAGGCCAGTCGGAGGGGCCTCGAGGCCACCCAGAGGGAAGCTCTCGAGACACACCACTAAGCTTCGGGCACCGCCTTTTACTGGGGCCAGCTCTACACGAGCGAGCAGAACCTAAAAATTTGAGTCGCAAACCACAGGGTGAATCATTTAATCCAAACGGTTGAAGGAATATCAGACAAATTCTCGGTATCGCTTAGAAATTCTTTTTATTAGGCAATTTCATTTTGCAGACACTTTCTGTTTTGAAAGAATCACAGACTCTCAGGCAGTTGCAGACTTAGGACCGAGTCCTGTGTGCCCTTTGCCCTGCTTCCCCCAGCGGTGACATCTTCTGTGACTGTAGCACAATACCAGGAGATTGGCTTTGGGATGGACTGTCAGCTAGCCTGCGGGCCTAATTCACACTTAGCAGCCTACTTGCCATCACCTGCGCGCGTGCGCGTGTGGTTTAGGCCATTTTACCCCGTGTGCAGATGGCACATAACTGCAATAAGATACAGAATCGTTCCGTCTCCTCAAAGGAGCTCCCCCATGCAACCCCTTTACACACGTAGAATTTTTCAGCGATAGTTTCAATGAGTCATCCCATGACCCTTAATATTTCCAGAAATGATTACTTTGAACTTTGCACTGCCCTGACATTTCATGTCTGAATGACCCCGTGTGCTTGGTGTCAAGGGGCTCCAGCTTTAACGTGAAGTCTTGCTGGATTCCCGTGGAGACTCAGACGAGGCCCTTCTCTCTTCCTGACAGACGGACGGCCTATGCCTACAACCCCGAGCCTCAGATGTACGCCCCCAGCAGCGCAGCTTCTTACTTCGAGGCCCCGGGCGGCGCCCAGGTGACCGTGGCAGGCTCCTCCCCGCCAACGGTCCCCTCCCACAGCATGGTGGGCATCACCATGGATGTCGGGGGGAGCCCTATTGTCTCCAGCGCGGGAGCCTATCTCATCCACGGGGGGATGGACAGCACCAGACACTCCCTGGCCCACACCTCCCGCTCATCGCCAGCTACGGTATGTACGAGGCTCTCGGGGGCAACAGGGTAGACCCTGAATAGACCCCCCTCAGCGGCAGGGATGCTGAGTGGAAGGCAGCCTGGGGTGCTGGAGCCGGAGCCCTGCCACCTGGAAGGGCGTGTGATCCGAGGCAAGTGTCCACCCCTGGGAACCAGGTACTCTGTGGTAGACAGAGAGGGCAGAAGGCCCCTCCCGGGCTGCTGTGGAAATGGCGTCTGAGCCCAGCATCACCGTGCTGGGGGGGAGCCCCACCGTTGGCGTCGCTCTCCCGGAGGCCCCGGGCCCATCCATCTGTGTGACCACTGGAGCGAACTAGGCACGGGGCAGTCCCACTTGGGAACTGCACCCACTCATTGCTGCCATGCCCCTGTCCCAGACAGTTCCCGACCTGCTTTAAAACTGTGTCTGCTCTTAAAGTCTGTTTTCCGTGCTTACTTTTATTTCATTTGGAAAATTAACACAGAGTAAAACTGACCCATTTTGGCGTGCAGCCCTGAGGTTTGACGCAACGACCTCGTGTCACTGTGGCCACGGTGAGGGTGCAGAGCGGCTCCTCACCCTAAAATCTCCCTCCTCCCGTGACCCACAGCCCCTGGCAACTCTGATCAGTTGTCTGTCACTCTAGTTTTGTCTTTTCGGGAGCATCGTATACACAGAACATACAGTCGGTGACCCTCTGAGGCCACCTCTTTCACTCGCTGTGGTGCCTTTGAGACCCATTCACGTTGTCACGTGAATCGGTACTTGCTTCTTCTTTGCTCCTGGGTAGGGTTCCGCCATACCACAGCTCCTCCATCCAGTCACCATTTGAGGGCCATTTGGGCAGTTTCCAGTTTTTGGTGATTATGAATAAAGCCTCTATAAGTACTCACATACAGGTTTTTGTATGGACATATGTTTTCCTTTCTTTTGGATCAATACGTACAAGCAGCATTGCTGGTTCACACGGTAAGTGTATGTGTAACGTTATGGAGCACCACCAACAGTTTTCCCAAGTGGTTGTATGGTTTTGCGTCTCCCCCCGTCCCCCAGTAATGTATGAGTCCCTGTGTCCCACCTCGTCACCAGCACTTGGTGTTGTCAACCATTCTTCATTTTCGACATTCGGATGGGTGTGTAGTGGTATCTCGCTGTGGTTGTGATTGGTGTTTTCTTGATTGCTAATGATGTGCTTGTTTGCCTTTCATTATATGCTCTTTGGTGACCTCTTGGTTCAAGTCATTTGCCTGTTTTTTAACTGGATTGTTTGTTTGCTTACTGTTGAGTTTTGAGAGTTCTTTATATATCCTGGATACAAGTCCCCTGTCAGATATGTGACTTGCAAATATGTTCACCCAGTCTTTAGAGTGTCTTTTCATCCAAAATTGTGTAGAGTGTTTCCTCTCACTTCACCGCTGTGTTGGCGATTTACATAATTTTAGAATTTTCTATATAAATTTTAGGTCGTTCTATCTATATCTACAAAAAATTCATAGTAAGATTTTGATTAAGCAGCCTTAGACCTATAGATCAATTTGGGGAGACCTGACGTCTTTCCTATGTCAGGTCTTCCTATCCATGAACATAGTATGTTTTTTTTTCCATTTATTTAGATCTTCTTTGATTTCTATCATCAGCATTTTGTAATTTTTAGCATGCAAATTCTGTATGTATTTTGTTAGATTTATGCCTTAATATTTTATGTTTCTGGCACTATTATAAGTGGTATTGATCTTTAACTTCATTTTCCAGCTGTTGATTTTTGGCTGTCAGCCTTGCATCCTGCAGCCTTGCTGAACTCACTTGTAAGAGCTGCAAGAGTTTTTTGCTCTCTGCAAATAGGAACAATTTTATTTTTCCCTTTCCAATCTGGATGACTTTTATTCATTTTTCTTGTCTTTTTGCACTATCTAGGACTTCCAGTACAGTGTTGAACAGGAGTGGCAAGAGTGGACATCTGTGCTTTGTTCCCAATCTTAGGGGAAAATCTTCAGTCTTTCACTGCTAAGTGTGATGTTGGCTGTAGGTTTTCTTAGATGCCCTTTTTCAGGTTGAGGAAATTCCCCTCTATCCCTCGTTTTCTTCAAGTCTTTATCATAAATGAATATTTTTATTTTTTTATTTTTTTTTTAAGATTTTATTTATTTATTTGACAGAGAGAGACACAGTGAGAGAGGGAACACAAGCAGGGGGAGTGAGAGAGGGAGAAGCAGGCTTCCCATGGAGCATGGAGCCCGATGCGGGGCTCGATCCCAGGACCCCAAGATCACGACCCGAGCCGAAGGCAGACACCTAACGACTGAGCCACCCAGGCGCCCCATAAAAGAATATTAATTTTTATCAAATGCTTTTTCTTCATTGATATGATCATGAGTTTTTTTCTTCTGTAGACTGTTACTGTGATGGATTACACTGGTTGATTGTCAATTAGAAAATAATTTCGTCTTTTGGTGTGGGGCTAATAACCTCCTGAAACAGAAGATGATGGTCTTGCCTCATCCCTGTCCTTTGGTCCTGATGTGCTTTGGGGTCACCTGACATCAGAGAGCCCCCACCCCCACCGGGTCTCGCTGTCTTCTATGTCCAGAGTGCTCCCCAGGACCCAGTTCTGTGGGCAGGGTGGGGAGAAGTCACTTGCTCTCCAGAGGCTGTAACACATGGGGCAGTGCCTGGTGTACCAGCCTGCACCTCGCCTCACCCAGTCCCTGCAACCCACCGGGGCCTGGGCAGCCACAGGCAGCCACACACGTCCTCCCTTGGATGACTGGCCGAATGGACATGAGCTTCAAGCTGGTATCGAGAAAGCATTCCTCACAGACGACATACATTTACCTGTCACAAACACGGCAGGTTCAATGTTAGCAAATCGCATCAGTGCATAGTAGCAGCGTGTGCTAGGACCACAGGTCGCAGACCTCCTGAGAAACCACAGCGTTCTCCGTGGTCCACACTATCCTGTTGCAAAGAAAGGTGCGGCTCAGACCCCGGGCAACCTGGCTACTGTGGTTTGTCATCTGAGTTGCTTCAGAAGAATCATGTTTTCATATCCACTGGGAATCCACGAATGGGCTGTGTTTACACCCCTCTCAGTGCAAGCCCAGGAGTGATCATCTCAGAAGGCGGTCTGATTCCCGACCCTGCCCGCACGGTGGTCTGTCGACTTGCTTTAGCATGGGAGCATCTCCCACACATGCCGCAGAGATCTGCAGGGTTTTCCAGGAGCCGAGAATAAGAACAGCCTTGAGACTGCCCCAGAACTAAAACAGGGCTCCGGCATCCGACACTTGAGGCCTCCAGCTTTTCCTGTCAAGAGTTTTGGGACTTTTAGTCGGTTCTGAAAGCAGAGCGTGAAGACCAGAGGGAATCACCCGTACAGCCTCAGTGAGAGGTTTCAGACTTCTGGGGGCAGATTTTCTTGAGTCTTTATTTCATCAGTATTACATAAATCTTAAAACTGAATGGCCCACATGAGGAGTTTTGGATAAAGCCTTTTGCTGTGGTGCTTTTATTAACCACACAGAGCACAGGCTCTAAACCCAGAGGCTTGCTCTTGCGGTCTCCGCCCAGGATTTTGCCCTTTGGGTCGTGTCAAGGGGAGGCTCGGGCTGCACCAGGTAGAGACCCTGCCACCCCGGGCTGCAGGAGGCCATGCCATGCAGACAGGGGGCCCCCACGGGCCACACAGCCCGGACTGAGGAAGACAAATGTTCTAACCAATTTTTACAATAATAAAAATACATCGTTCCTGCCCATGGGGAGACATGCCATTGCAGTGGGCCTCTAGGTCTAGCCCAAATGAAGGATAAGCTGACCCAGGGGTCAGGTTCCCCCTCTGAGTGGCGTCTTTGTGAACTCTTCGTTTCCAGGAAATTGGAGTCCTAGCTCATCGGTAGTGGTGGCCCTGGCTATGCAGATCACACAGAGATCGGGACGGCGTCTGCCCTGGCGACTCCACTCGGGATTGCCACGCACCATCAGCACGTGCTGCGCTGAAGCCAGAGAGGTGAGGAGTGAAGTCACCTCGGAGAACAGCGGCAAGTGGGTTCTGAGCTTTCTCGGGCTACATTCCACTACCTAAAGAGCTTGCATCAGCTTCGTGGCACCTGATGTGACTTTCAAATATGCCTAGGACTGCACCATTGATTTCTTCCTGCGCCAGATAAAGAAAAACCCTCATGTGTTGGGTTTGAGAAGCCAGAGTGTCCGCAGCCCAGCCCCTTGGGACACTTTGAGTCTTCTTCGAAAATCCTGAGATCTGGTTCCCGATATTAAAAGTCACAATATAGGGCTCTGGACTGATGGATTCAAGTTCTACAACATATATCCTGGAGATATGTGACTTGAAATCACAGGAATTTCTTTACTGGCGTTATCAGAAACTCAGCTCCTGCTTTCAACACATAAGGAGCATCTTGCCCCTGACCACCAGCACACGTGGGTTCAGAAAAGCCAAATCTTGTAGTCACTATCCAGCTCATTAGCACCGAGTCAAGCCGGGGAGACTGTGAATGGACCGTCTGTGGCTCCCTGTGTGTGGCCTGGCTTCCCACACGTGCCCTTCCAACCTCACGGCCACCCTTCCAGGTGACCCACAGGGCGGTGTGCCACCCACACAGTTCTGAGTTCACAATGGATCATCAACCGCGAAACGTGTCTTCTCTGTAGCCTGCATTTCCAGTGAAGATGCAGAAAATCTCGACTGTACTATGACCTCACACATGTGCCAAGCATTTGCTAGAAGCTTCCTCATCCTCTGCACATCAGAGCTTTTGTCCAACTGTCAGAGCAAAAACTTTGCAAGCAAACGCACGTTGTTTGAGAAAGGAATTTTGCCAATTGCGTGTCTGCTTTTTTCTCTGACTCAAGTATTTATCATCACTTTTTTCTTTAACTGAATAGACTCTTTTTTTTTTTTTAAGTGCCACTTTAGGTTCACAGAAAAATCGAGCGGGAAGTCAGAGAATCCCCGTAGCCCCCCACCCCCCCCCCACACACTCACATGGTTCCCCTCATTAGCC